ACCACCCTGCGAACTCAAGATTGCATACTCCAGCATCCATACTTTGAATAATTTGCACGTCGCACAGTGCAGTACTGGAAACAGCATTTATTAGACAGTTAGACAAAAAACAAAACAAAATGCCTGTCTCGATCAATCGCACATCCATAATGTTTGTATGTTGATATGCTTGTCAATAACATTAACGTAAAAGTCGAAACAACCTGGACTAGAAGTCAATTCACCAGTCCAGCCAGCTATGGCTCCCTAAGTTGCTTATATTTAATCAGATACTATTTCGTCATCATGCTTTGTTACCTTACCTGTTTATACCTCATGAGGGCGTTTTTTTATGGCAAGATGGCGCAAACGGAAGTCCTTCGCAGGTTTATGGTTTCTCATATTTAAATCATCCTAACTCTGAAGATAATCATTTTTTTTAATTTTTTTTTTCAAATTTATAATCAATATACATAACTTGATAAATACAAACACCAAAATAGGCTCTATTTAGTTCCCCTTTAAAAAAATTTGACTCTTTGCATCTTTAAGGTAGTATTTGGACAGTTTTACCTTGAAATTATGTTCGCATAACGAAAATACCACAATCTGTTAGCGGGAATTCTAGGTTTACAACATGATGCTTGCAGATAAAAGAGCTTCACAAATACAGCAGAATGCAATAAACAGTTATTTTATATAATGCATTCTTCTGCGTTGTTGATAAAACATTTAAACTCTTGGCAGCTTTTAATAGAAGATCAAATGTAAAAAAATTGACATCGAGTTAGGGTGGCTTCTTAATGTGTTGTAATAGTTAAGATGTCACAGTTACTTTGAATAAGTTGTTTATTCATAGTGTTTTTTAAATATTCTCCAAAGGGAAAACTGACAGCCAGAGAACGTATCAATTTGTTACTTGATGATAACAGTTTCATTGAATATGACATGTTTGCTGAACAGAGATGCACTGACTTTGGCATGGAAGCAGAGGATAAGAAGGTTAGTGCTTCCTATACACACACACACACACACACATTCTAGGCTTAATTGACCTTGTCACTAAAGAAGTCTTCAAGGCGATCATTTTGATGACATGGAAGCGCTGTCAGTCATCATGTTAATATGACACTGGACACCAAGATTTATTTTGAAACCACACAATGTTTTCATGAGAACACCCCGACCAGTTGTTTGAAATTTGTCAAAATAGCGTTACCAGACAACAGGGCAGCTAACTTTAAAAGTTTGCCTGCCCTGCTAAACAATTTACCAGCCTTGTTTATTTTATTTACTTTCAATCATTCCACTATATTTCATTCAACCAGTGTCACTGCAGTGACTTTTATTCAAGTAAGAAAAATCTGATTCATAATCAA